ATGGAGATTCAAAGCAACCAAATTGAAGATTTACAAATCAAGATTCAAAATTCATTGTTCAAGTCAGAAATCAATTGATTAAGGTATGTTCCGCGTTAATTTAGTTTCTTGATGATTTGACATGAAGATCTTGGCAAGACCATAAAGTTTAAGTTTTTCAATAAAGTTCTAACAGCTTTGTGATGGCTCACGCTCAGTCTCCGTTGGTGGCTTGGGAGACTCAGCGGCCAAGGTCATCTCCGTCATTTCCTTGAACTTGGTAGATTGTAATAAAAGCTCTAGTGCTGAGGTGACGGTGGAAGGTCGGGACTCAGATGAGGTGGCATCAACCACATCTGATGGTGGTTGGAAGTGGTGGATGGGGGATGAGCCGCCTGAGTTGTGGGTTGTGCTTGGTCCGAAATTAGTAATGGCATGATCAGGGTCGATGTTAGGGGTAGGGTTAGGCTTGTTGGTGATGTTGTTATGTCTTAACCATTTGATGTAACAACAAAGATCAAAATTTGTAACTGCATTAAGACCTCGATATTCAATTGCTGCTATGTCATATGCAACTGCAGCCTTAGCTGAGTTTATTGAGTACAAAGATGAATACTGAATTCTTATTCATGCAGGTTTGATATTAAAATTGGATTAAAATTTGGATTGAAATTGAAGTTAAAGTTAATAATTACTTATAATCACACATTTTATGGAAAAACCGTGTAAGGACAAGCTTGCCACCGCCTTTGATATTAGGGAACATTCAACCCACTGCTTCGTAACATAGGAAGACAAAGCTTCTTATTATCAAATTTGCAAAAGGCCTTAGGTCAAAATGTATTGGGGCTAATAACAGATGAATATGACTTGTCTACTTAGTATTCTCCTCATTTACGGTGAGTTCACGTTGTAAACGACACAATGCCTAGGGAGGATAGGATACTCGAGGCAAGGCCACAGATTGGTCGGTTACCTTTGTTGAACCTGTAAGTGTACAGAGGTTCGTCAAAGCTCTAGATTTATAAGCGACCATTGATGATTTCAAAATGCATCCAATAATCTTCTTATTGTGGAAGATGATGCAATGTAGGTAAATGTGGCGCACAACCCTTCTTGACATCCATCTTTTCTCTACATGGCAACAATGTTGAGAATCTACTTAATCATGAAAAATAAAACAATTTCAATTCCCATAAAGGATCTATTTCATGTTTAGATAGAAACTGTAATTAGAATTATACATTTAGTTACTTCTGCAAAGAACATTCACAATCTGCAGTTGTTTAATTATCCAGCCTCCAATGATAATCTACACAAATGAACAAGAATGAGAGGATTGAGATTTCTCGTTTCTTGTGCTAGCAAAGCAATATAATAATCGTGTGTTATAATTCCCCAAAGTGGAAATCACATAAAACTAGATTTTTTAAAATCTAATTTCAAAAATCAGATTTAAAGTTTGTTTTTACAAAATCAGATGTTAATTCAAATTTTTAATATTAATAAAATATTATAAATTAATTAATCGACATGGATATATTCTCTCTCTCTACTTGTATCTCCATTCGCCCTTTCCCGACCTCTTTCCATCCTTTCTCTACTGGAGCCGTTCACTAGCTCTCTCCCCTCATTTCAGCATAGCTCAGGCACGACACCGCTGTCGAGTACTTCATCCACAAGTATGATAGAATACTTCAAGAGGTTTTGGGTCGATTTCATAGCAGCAACGGATGGATATGATTTCACAATGAGTTCGACTTTTTGCAATTTAGTCGATGTGCGGCGTAAGCTGAGTTTTGGCTCTTGATATGTTGTCGGATCTGAGGAAAATTGGGTCCAAGTTTTGGGTAGCGATCTGGTTTTCGGCGTTACTAGAGTTTTTTGGGTGATTTTTTGTTAGTTGTGGTACAGGTAGATCTGGCACTGTTGGTGGTGGATTCGGAGCTAGTGAGGTTGTGGATTTGGTGCTATTGACGGTGGCGAGGTGGTGGTCGCCAACGGTTGTGGTGTAAGTGGTGTTGGTGGCGATGACGAGGCGATGTGGCATTGGCGTTGCCCGGGGACAGGGGCTGTTACAATGGCTGTAGATGAATAGTGAATGTGGTTTTGTTGCTGGGGCGGCCATGACGGTGGGGCTGTTGAGGTGGTGGTGGTGGTGGAACGGCGTGACGATATGGTGGTATTTTTTTGTGATGTGTTGATTGTTTGAGGCGATGGTGTTGCTGTTGTTGTCGGGAGGTGGTGGTTCTGGCTGCGGTGCTGCTTGAAGGAATGGTGCGACGGTGGTCACAAGTGTTGGTTGTGGTCATAAATTATTTGGTTGATTGTGACCATTAAATTGGTTAATCTGTGAATAATAAATAGTATGTGATCAATGAAAAATATAAATTGTGACCAAGAAATAATGTGTGACCTAAAATTTTTTTGTTTGTGACTGATAATTTGACAATTTGTAACTGTCTACTAAGTTGTGATTTATAATATCTGTGATCTGTGACCGATAAATAAATTGTGACGTATAAATTTTTGAATTGTGATCGATAAATAAATTGTGACTTATAAAAATTCTGAATTGTGACAATAAAATAATTTGTGACATAAAATTTTTGATTTGTGACCGAAATATAATATGTGACTAATTAAATCGTTAATTTGTGACCAAATTATATAGATTTGTGACATTAATATAGTTAAATAATAAAATATATAATTAATGAATTAAATCATAAATATTAAAATTAATCATAGACTAAAAACTTTATTAAAACATTTGTTCTTAGTTTTGAAAAGAGTAATTCCAAACCTCTTATTTATGAATTTTTCCCTTCCTCAAATCTTAACAACTTATTCATAGAAGTTCAAGTGGGCTTAGCCCATCCATTAAACTCGACCCAATCCAATGTCTGTTTAATCTAATTAATTAAGCTTAGTCCATTAATTCAATTAATTAACTTGGGTACATTAACAAGCAACCCAATTAATTAATTATACAAATATTCAATACTTGTCAACTAATTAATTAGTGACAATTCCTCTAGTTCTCATTTTTATGTGTGACTCATTAGGTTCCCAAACATAATACCTAACAATGTGAATTATTATTTTGATCCAATGAAAATCGATAAATTAAAATATTCCGTTTTAATTTATCATCAACTCACATTCGTTGTTTGAGATTGATATCTAACAATGTGTTAGGGCAATACGTATAACGAAAAATGTCATGATATGACGAAACCAAACTTGTTCGTTTATCGTGAAATCATAATCTATTTATTAATATGATCTAATCAATTACGAGATATGATATGTATCAATTTCGATTATCGGTTATATCTTTCATCCCACTATTAAGTCAATGTAAATGAAAAACTTTTTTCGACTTATAAGTACACTTTGGTCAAGGATTTCATTATCAATTTAATTGAATGAAATGTAAATCATATTACTTACTATTTAAGAGTGATGAATTCTCTATTGATTATTTACAACTTTCATATGATTGTTGATATACTCAAACGATGCCGTATTAGCGACTATTGGTAGAACAACATCAAATATCACGAAAACATAACTGTCCCCATTTAAAGCACTATGATGACTTCAAGTTAAAGGACCAATTCCAATATCGAATGTTAGAGATTAACCACTAACACTCAAATAGTTATCCATGTGGTATCTTTTCAGCGGGTCTCTAATGTTTTATTCTTCTAACAACATATTCGCGTGTTCATTTTAATATCACCACGTTTTATTTTGTGAGATCAACTACTCAATTCATAAGTGAAATGTCACGCGTGATGGTCAATCCATAATAACGATATATGTATCTCGTTATTACAATGACCATAAATAATTTAGAATTTAGTCATATGTAATTTATTTCTCACTATCAAAGCTCCTTGTGATTAAAAAGTTACTAGGACTTGAATCTATAGAATTTATTAATATAATTTATATGAAAAGTAATTCAATAAAATAATAGATCTCGCAATATATAAATGAATCAAACATATTAAAAGTGTTTACAATATAAATCGTTTGGATCTAGAGCATAATATTTACAAACAATGTCTATCAACAATTATTTTTATTTATAATCTTGATATGTACCTAGATGAACATATTGTCTAGAATATTCATGAATCTAGGATTTTTTGTTTTTATTTTTTAAATCCATTTCATATTTGATAAAGTAGAGTATGTGGTATTATAAAAAAATAGAAGTCAAAATGTCATTTATTTTATTGTATAAATCATGTAGCCATTGTTCGGTGTGGATTAAAATCAAATATTTAGTAGATTTTGATAAAAGTTGATGAAATGTGTGGTTGAAAAGTTTTGGTCTTATGAAATGTGTGGTTAAAATTAAGTGATTTTGACTAAAAATTTTAGTTAGATTTTAATCTAGATAAAATACGGTTTAATATTGTATTCCAAAGATTCATATCCTGATCAAACAAATATGAAATACTAGCGCCAACAATTTGCCCCTGTTTTGTAGGAATTACAATCTAAATTTTAATCTAAGTTAAAATCAACAATTAATTTTAATCACGTATTTTATTGATCCCACAAGTTTTCAATCACACATTGCAGAATTTACTAAAAAAATTGATTTTAATCCTTATCAAATAGGGGCAAAAATCCACCTAAAAGCTTGACGTGTAAGCAGAAAACATCCAAACAAGGAGAACACTATCATTTCGACGTCATCAGCGACAGAATACTCGAAAATACTAATCCTCTAATTATCTCCAATTTCATAATCCCATAATTAAGATTGCCTCTATATAAATCCGAAGAATAACGACATTATTTCTCATTTCGAATGCACCAAACCATTCTCCCTCTCCCCAAACTCCATTTCTCTATCTATATACATAGGTCATTTTTTTAATACATAGAGATGGACCAAATGAGAGGCCCAAGAGGCCACCGCCTCAGGCTCAACTCTTTAGGGTGCCCAAAATAAATTTTGTTTCTTTTTTCTATTTTTTAAAACCCATTAATTATATTCAAAACCTCTCATTCCCAATTGTCCAATTGCCTGTTGAAGAAATAAAAATCTAGACGACTTCTTCAATAATGATATCGCAAGAAACTGAGTCCTTAGCAATGTATGAACTTGAGAATTTTGAGGTCTTGCTTGGCATGGTAATTTGGTATGCATGCATTTAATACTTTGAGTAATTTTTTTTCAACCTAAAACATGGATATTGATAAAGCCATTAACCTTTTACAAACACTTATTTTGTTTCTTGAAGATTATAGAGAATTTGGGTTTGCTAGTACCATTGATAAAGCTAAACAAATGGCAAGTGAAATGGGAATTGAAGTTGCATTTCGAGAGAAACACAACATTCAAAGAAAAAATAGTTCGATGAAAATGGCAATAAAGAAGTAACACAATCAACTGAAAAATCTTCCAGAGTTGATTTTTTTCTCTTTATAATTGATCAAGTTCAATCTTTACTTCAAACTCGTTTTGAACAATTTAAACATTATGAAGAAATGTTTGGATTTTTGTTTAATTTGGAGAGATTAAAGAGTGTGCATGTTGAAAGTTTGTTGAAATCTTGTAAGAATCTTGAGCAGTATTTGAAACATAATGGAGATTTAGACATTATTGGTGAAAACTTATGTTCGGAGTTGACAGTCTTGAAATACTATTTACCTAGAGAAACAAAAAGAGCAATTTTTGTGTTATATTAATTGATGAAAATGAATTGTTGTTTCCCAAATGCTTGCATTACTTATAAGATTTTGCTATCCATCGGTTACAGTTGTATAGGCCGAAAAAAGTTTTTTCAAGTTGAAATTGATCAAGACTTATCTCCTATCAACTATGTATAGCAAAAATTGAATGAATTACTCATGTTATCCATTGAAAAATAAATGATTGAACAACTTGATTATTCAAAATTAATTGATGTTTTTGTTTCTAAAACCACAAGACGAGTTGCATTTAAGTGATCATTTAAAATATTTTCGTATTATTATTTGATTGTAATATAAATATTTTGAATATTT